TGGCTCCACAAGTCCAGTCCTGTTAGTGTCGTGCAAGGAGGTCAAACGTTTCTAAACCTTTATTACTGATTAGTAAAAACAGTGATGACATCAGCAGTGGGAAGGGGCAGGGTCCTCCCCTGCCAGGAGCCAGACTCTGCAGTGCCCTCTCCAGGCTGGGCCAGCGCCGGCCCTGACACCGCAGGCATGACTTTGGCCACCTTTCAGCAGTGAGAAGGTCTTGGACAGGATGTTGGTACTCAGAAGCCATCACAGGACAATCTTAAAGGAGCTGCATGAGGAAGGAGTGAATTGAGTTTGGTGCTGGGGGGTCAAACCCAGGGCCTGACACATGTTAAACATGGACCGCCTACCGCTGAGCTACACCGAAGCCCTCGAGTTGTGTTTTCTGATAGAAAAGGGTGGTGCAGACCTTACCAATCATACCCACTTCTCCCCTGTGACTTCTTTTTTTGGGGGGTGTTCCCCCCTAAGACAAGTTCCAGCGGGCCTAGAGTTCACTCTAGACCAAGCTGGCCCTGCATATCAGCAGTTCTTTTGTCTTTGCCTTCTACGTGCTGGGATTACAGACCTGCAGCACCACAGATTCTTGTTTGTAGGGCTGGAGGTGTAGCTCAGTAGACTGCTTGCCTAACATGTTTGAAACTCTATATTCAACCCTTAGCACCACATAAATTAGGCATTCCAGAACTCAGGAGGTAAACGAAGGAAGACCAGAAAAATCTAACATCTAGGCTAGGTGTAGTAGTGCAGAGGGAAACAGAGGCAAGTGGAGTTTGAGACCCTGTCTCAAAAAAAAAAAAACCAAAAAACTAGAATGGGCTAGGTCCCTAGTGTGTCCCCTCTTAAATCCATGCTAAAGCATCCCTGTAATAACAGCCCAGAGTAGATGCACTCAGGATACAGGGGCATGCTTGTCACACCTGGCAAAGTCTGGTGAACGAGAAATGACATGCTGGAACTCGGAGAGGTTGATGGTCCCATCCCTGTCGATGTCCGACTCTTCCAGGATCTGGAGACGGCAGGACTTTAGGCTTCGATCCCAATCCTGGCCACCCAACTGCCCAGGCGTGGCTAGGAGAGTCAGCTTACACTGTCCCAATCCTGGCCACCCAACTGCCCAGGCGAGGCTAGGAGAGTCAGCTTACATTGTCCCAATCCTGGCCACCCAACTGCCCAGGCGCGGCTAGGAGTCAGCTTACATTGTCGATGAGCTGCTTCATCTCAGAGGCACTGAGCCGAGTGTCCTCACCCTCGCCTGTGAGGCAGTTCACCAGCCGACTCAGGTCTTCTCTGTCCAGGGTTCCGTCATCATCAAAGTCTAGACAGCAGACACGGGAGCAACGGGCCTGCTCAAGGGCTGTCCCACGGGCACACGCTTGGCCCCCATTTCCTGTGGTAAGGAGCAGGGTCCAGCAGTTCCCACAGTGCTTACCGAAGATGCGGAAGGCATAGTGTGACTTGATGTCTGGGGTTGCTGTGTCGCTGAAGACACTTAGGAGGTCCAGGAAGTCCTCGAAGCTCAGGCTGTCTCTAGTAGGGGATGTGGAGAAGACCATGCAAATTCGCTCCTTGAAGGGATTGGCCTAGGTAAGAGAACCTTCTGTGAATGTTGCAGGGCAGTGCCTGGGTTACATGCTCAACCAACTCAGCTTTTGAGGGAGTGTCTCATAAACCTAGGCTGGCCTCAAACTCCCGAGCTTCCTGCCTCTACTTCCCAAGTGCTGGATTATAGATGTGTGTCACTCTGACTGACTCCCTTCTGGAAACTTGAGGAAGCTGATTACAGTAGTGGCACTATATGGAGTTCAGGCTCGAAGGGGGAGAACCTTTGAGGCCAGCACATGGAGGGTTCAGGAGGGACCACTAAGCCAGCCAGGAAAGGAGTGGAGATGTTCCCTGGGAGTCTAACTCAGGCACATCACAACTGGAGTCATAGTGGGAAAAGGAAGGCATCCTAAGCAAAGCAACAAGATGAGCCAATTGTTATTATAATTGTGTATGTACACACGAGCCCATGTGTGAGCATACCACACACATGTGGAAGTCAATGGATAACTTTCCATAGTCAGTCCTCTTCTACCATAGGCTCCAGAGGTCAGATGTAAGTCCTCAGGCTTACAAGGCAAGAGTTTTTAGCTGGTCATTTTTAAATATCCTTAACTGAACAATTATTTTGGTGCAGAGTCAGGCTCTTTGCATAGAAATTTCACAACAGACAGGCACTGTGGTGCATGCTTTTAATTCCAGTACCAAGGAGGCAAAGGCAGGTGGATCTCAAAGAGTTCAAGGATAGCCTGGTTTACATAGTGAGTTCCAGCCAGGCTAGCTAGGACTTTACAGTGAGACCCTGTCTCAAAATAATGATAGTAATTATGATTATTATCCACAGCAAGCTGGGCAAGGTAATACATCCTATAATCTTAGTGCTCAAAAGGCAGGGAAAGGGTAGAAGCCAGTTAAAGGCCACTCAAGGCTACACAGTAAAATCCCCATATCAGAAAAAAGTGGTGGCTTAGCTTAGTAAAATACCTGCCATGTAAACACCCCATCCCCCAAACTGCTGTTTTTAAAGAGAGTGAGCTGGAGAGATGACTTAGTGACAGAGGACCCTAGTTCAGTTCCTAGCCCCCGTGATGGGCAGCTCACAATTGCCTGTAACTCCGGCACCAGAGGGTCCAGCGCCTTCTGTACTCCACAGGCCCTGGCACAGACATATGTATATACCCACACACAAACAATTACACGTCATCATCAAAATAAACCCAAGGTGTGGTCACATGTGCAGAGACAGGGTAGATAAAGTCGGAAGAGGGTAGAGTGGATGGAGGACTGAACCTTGAGCTCTGGAAGGCTGAGAATCTGCTCGAATGACACTCGGGTGTGCAGCGACTCCTCCACACTCCGATGCTCCGGGGGAAGCAACTCACAAAACCGCCTGTGGGCCCTGGTAGAGAGAGGGGAACTTGCTGGTGCCTTCAGTCAGTCAGATTCCCTGTTTCCTACACTCCAGTCGGCATTTTGAATGCCATATAAATCAGGTGTATAACTAAGTCACATAGCCAGGACTTCCAGTCACTGGGCAGACTTCAGCCAAAGAGAGGTAAGTCACAAAGTAGCAGAGGTTTGGAGTCCCGTCTTAGGGTGGGTATTTATGGAGGAGAGGCGGTATGTGTGTCTGCAGACACTGCATCAGGCACTGTTCTGGCAGGAAAAGGATATTGTAGAGATATCTGTACCCTTCCCTTTGGCTATCAGACTATAGAATCAGTGGTCCCCGAGATTCCCCAGTCATCTCATACTGCGGGAAGGATGAAGCCTGGTGTCAGCCAAGGAGGAAATGTCTACCAGGAAGAGATTTCACACAGTTCCAATAACTTGTCAGATCACCTTTCACAAGAGGATGGAGCTGAGACATGATGGAGAGACCACATCTTGACCAGACTGCTTAGTTACACATATCTCCTGCCCTGTATTTAAATATAAGCCCCCCCCCCATCAGCAGGACACGAAGACTGCCTTGAGGGAGGGGGCTGTCACTGAACCTCTTTGATACTTTTCCCAGTGTGGCCACACTGGATACATTTCATTTCCCTGCTTTGAAATATTGTCCCTTTAATTGGCCTACTGAGGGTAGGTAGCCAGCCTATCTAGTTAGGACTGCCCATGGACCAAGTTCCTGAACCCTAACAATTACAGTAACAATTTCAAAGATTCTTAAAGAGAGGTTCGAGAAGGAGGTATAAGTGACCCTGAACAATGGGAAAAAAAGAGCAAAAACTCGATGTCACTTCAACTCCAGGAACCCCTTCTCTCACCACCACCTCTTTCCCAGTGGAATTTCACTTAGGGGACCAGGAACTTCCCTAGGTCAAGCATCCTGGCCATCAAATCACTTAAGTATGCTTTATAAGCAAGTTATCAGAACCCTCTAACCTGTTTCCTTGTTCTGTAACCTCCTCCTGAAGATTTAAGTAATGTGGAAATCACTCAGTAGTTCCTGGGTAGAGTAAAACTCAGTAAACGTTAACGGTTACTGTATTAAACAGGTAAAGTTGGGAGAAGAGCAAGCCAGGCTCCTCAAGGCTTCTTGTTTTTGCCAGAGGGCAAAGTCCTACAGAGGCACAGCTGTTCCCGAAGATAGCAGGAAGCTCTGCAGTGAGGAGGCCAGCGGGGCTTAAACAACCCAACTCTTCCTGAATACACAGAGGTGTATCCGTGATGCAAAGTTGAGGCCCCGGACGCGGGCAAAACTTGCACTCCGGGCCTCCGGTTCCAGATCCGCTTATCTTGATTTCCGTGAAACCCGACCCCACCCTCGGGAGAGGTGTCCAATCCGTCCCCCGTTAGGACAGTACCCCCCCAAAGCCCCACCCCCTGGCAATCCCGCGGTGGCAGGCGGGGGGTCGCGGGTCGGGGCAGCACTTACAGGAGGATCTCCTGCTTGGTCAGAAACGTCAGGTCCTGGAAGACAAATCCAGACAAGGGTCGGCGAGCCGCCCAAAAGCCACAGCCTCCCCGCCGCCGGCTCCCGAACCCCACTACCCGGCGCGGGCCCGCACGCGAGCTCCGCGAGAACTGGCGCCCCGCGCACCTGGTACTCGGCCAGCAGCTCCTTGGACAGGCGACTGCCCGAGCCTCCCATCGCTGCGGTGCGCGCACAGCTCGGCCAACTCTCCCCGGGACTCCGGCAACTTTCTCACTTCCGTCCTCGGGCCGCGTCCCCGCCCCGTCCCCACAGCAACCGCTGCCGGGCCTCCGCCCCCGGGCCCGCCCCTGCGTACAGTGCCCTGGCGCCCTTGGCACGATTCAGCCAGCCAGCTCCCGGCTCCCCACGGGCCCAGGCGAGCTGGAGGCAGGGCCCGGGGAGGAGCCGGATGCGCAGGGGCGGGGCCCAGGCCTCATGGCCCCGCCTCCTGATGGGTGGGGCTGGTCGCACCGCGCGCACGTGGTGCAGACTGCGCCTGCGTCGGGGACACCACGCCCCTCGCTGTGTTCCAGGGATGCGTCTGCGCGTGGAGTCTTGAGATGCATCCGCCTGTCCTAAAGCAGGTGCTGGAGACCTCAGTCCTGGGTGGGGGCAGGTAATCTCCAGACTCACTCCGGGACTGGAGGAGATCCGGTGCCCCTCTGCCGAGAGGGACAATCCCAGACTGTCTTACTGGACACGAGCTGCAGCCACGCCACCTTGCCGACTCTTCCAGAAGTAGCTTAGCTTGCTGCCTCTTGAAGCTGCTTACTGAGGATTCACTGAATTTGTGCAGTTATCGTCCATTCGTGGAACAGTTGACAAGGTAGGCTTTCGTTTTACATAGGTCCAGTTTCAGTGATGTGTCGGTACTCGGGCGTTTAGAGGTCGGTCCTGCCCACAGACCTACTGCTGCTGTATTGTCCTCACAGCTGACATGTCTCCTTTGACCCCTTCCACAAAGTGCAAGCTTCCAGCTGTAGAGACTAAGGTTGTTCTACCTATTTGCTTAACTTAACCTCCAGGACATCCAAGTCATTATCAGATGCATGTACGAATGAACAAATTTGCACTGCGTGTAAAAGTGGGGATTCCAAGCTGCTGGGAGGAGGAAGGGAAAGTGCATTCTGTGACAGTTAATGTTGATGGTCAACTGCTGGGCACTCCTGTGAAGGGTTTTCTTGGTTAGGTTATTTGAAGTGGGAGTTACACAGTGCCTTCGTCTGGTAGCCTCTACAGCAGGGAAACGGAAGAAGGAAACTGCTTTTGACCTGTTTGCCTTCACTTGCTGATAAGTTCCTCTATCCGGTTACCACCACCACCGAATTCCTTTGCTGGCATTAGAGTCAGCCTCTTCCAGCTTCCAACACAGACTAAAGACCAGCAGCTCTCCAGGCCTTCAGTACCAGATTGGGATTGCCGAGACACCCATCCTTGTGGACTAAGCAACTAACGTTGTTTGTCTGCCCAGATATGTCAATCTAGTAACTCCCCATTTAATGTATATTCATTAATTCTGTTCCTCTAGAGCACTGGTTCTCAGCCTTCCTAATGCTTTGACCCTTTAATATAGTTCCTTATGCTGTAACTCTCAACTATAAAATTACTTTTGTTGCTACTTCATAACTGTAATTTTACTACTGTTATGAGTCATAATGCAAATATCTATGTTTCCAATGGTCTTAAGAGACCCCCGTGAAAGGGGCATTTGATACCCAGTGGGTCAAGACCCACACAGGTTGAGAACCACTGCCCTAGAGTAACCTAATATAGATCCATTTACCTCCCACCCAGAAACTATGATATATAAGCAAAAGACCAATAGAATTTTTTAAAAACTCAAGCAAAGCATTATGAGACAAAAAAGAAAGTCTCCCAAAATACTATTGAGTCGGTTTTGAATTGGCCATCTCCTGTTGGACGTGGGCCTGCCGTTGAGTATGGTTTGTAACCCCAGTGAGACTCCATTATACAGATTCATTCTTTTTGCTTTGTTTTTCAAGACAGGGTTTCTCTGTGGTTTTAGAGACTGTCCTGGAACTAGCTCTTGTAGACCAGGCTGGTCTCGAACTCACAGAGATCCTCCTGCCTCTGCTTCCCAAGTTCTGGAACCAAAAGCATGCACCACCACCGCCCGGCACAGATTCATTGTTGATGGTACTCAGTCATTCTAATTGCTGAGCTTTAGTAAGCATGAGCATATATGATCTTAGTTTAAAGTTATTAAATTGGTTGGACCAGGTGGCACAGATCTGTAAGCTCAGCTGCTTAGGAGGCTTGAAGTAAAACAATCATAAGTTCAAGGCTAGCCTGGGCAACCTAGTGAGACCCTAGCTCAAAAATTTTAAAAAATTATATATATACACATATATATATATAATGAAAAGAGATAATGATGTGTCTTAGGGTTTCTTTTGCTGTGACAAAACAACATGACCAAAAGCAACTTGGGGTGGGAAGGGTTTGTTTCATCTTAAAACTCTTGGTTAATTTCATCACTGGGTAAAGTCCAGGCATCAACCTGGAAGCAGGAATTTGAGCCATGAAGAAACTGCTTACTGACTTGCTCCTCATGGCTTGCTCCAACTGCCTCTCTCTCTCTCTGTCTCTCTGTGTTCTGTTTTTCATGACAGGGTTTCTCTGTATTGTTTTGGAGGCTGTCCTGGAACTCACTCTGTAGACCAGACTGGCCTGGAACTCAATGGAGATCTGCCTGCCTCTGCCTCCCGAGTGCTGGGATTAAAGGCGTGCGCCACCACCAATGCCCGGCTCCAACTGCTTTCTTATTCAACCCAGAACCACTTGCCCAGAGGTAGTATCGTCCACAGTGGTCTGGCCCTCCAGCATCAATCATCAAGAAAATGCCAATCTGATGGAGGCACTTCCTCAGTTGAGATTTCCTCTTCCCAGATTTGTCTAGGTCAGTGTCAAGTGACAATACATAAATAGCCAGCACAGGCTGTAACTCAGTCCAACATGTTTGAAGCCCCAGCTTCGATCCCCTAGCACGTCAAAAATAAGTAAATAAGAAAGGAAGAAAGGATTACATTCAGTAAGATGGGGGAGAAGGAAAACAGACTCAGGAATAAACAACAACAACAATAGTCTTTTATTCATGACAAAAACCTGCAGGAGGTGGGGGTTCTCTAGCCTAAGAATCCAGCCCACTGCCTGGGGTAGATATAGGACAGAAAAAGTTGGGCTGGGGGTCAGTTGGAAGGCTTCCTCGTTTGGCCTGCATTGGCCAGTGCCTGGAGTAACAAATGAGTCAGGTGTCAGGTGATCAGTAAGTATCTCTGGAGGCCAACCGTTACTGGAGGGCCATAAGGCAGAAAAGGTAAGAATCTAGAAAAACAAGGTACTTTAGTTTTAGAATTTGTCATGGGCCTTCCTGGTTGTCATCTTGACTCTCTCTGGACTATGATCTACAAATGGAGGGCACTTATGAGCTGGATCTTGAGGCTGGGTGACAAATGCCTTTAATTCAGACCCCGAGACTGGAAGACACACCTTTAATCTGGGCCACACCTTCTCTTGAAGTACTATATAAGGACAATGGAAGAAGGGAGTGTGTTTGTCTGCTTGCCCTCATCTCTGTCAGCCCATCCATTCCTTCTTCAAGATCCCAGCAGGCCAGCTGGGACACCCAGCCTCATGGGACTGAGCAGCTAGTAGATTCTCGAACTTTCCATTCATAACTGGCCAATGTTGGACTGCAGCCTGTAAGTCATTCCAGTAAATTCACTCACTCACACACTCTCACACACATACATACATACACACACACACACACACACACACACACACACACACACACACAGAGAGAGAGAGAGAGAGAGAGAGAGAGAGAGAGAGAGAGAGAGAGAGAGAGAGAGAGAGAGAGAGAGAGAGAGAGAGAGGACCCAGAGTGGTGTAGAGCAACAGAAGGATAAGGATGAATCTTCTAAGTATATCTGGAATAGGCTTTTTAAACCGCCAGCACCTTCAGCTACTGAAGCCTCTCCAGTCACTCTCGTGCTCAGAAGGTACTGAAAGCCTGTGGTGTAAATTATATTTAAAACTTAAAGAAATAAATGCCTTTGATGATCTTGATTCATTAATAGTGAGTGGTGATGGATTTAGTAATGTTATATTTGAAACTTTTGACAGTTTGGGGGAAAATAAGGATAAGGAAAACGGTGCTACTGGTTGATTGCTCTTAATATCTCTAAATTGCTAAAGGATAGGAATGAACTCCATGATACAATTAATCAGCTTCAGGATATAAGACAGGACAACACGAAAGCCGGGAGTTGGTGGTGCACGCCTTTAATTCCAGCACTCGGGAGGCAGAGGCAGGCAGATCTCTGTGAGTTCAAGGCCAGCCTGGTCTACAGGACAGTCTGGTCTGGTCTACAGGACAGCCTCCAAAACAATACAGAGAAACCCTGTCTCGAAACCCCCCCCCAAAAAAAAGAAAAGAAAAGAAAAAAGAAAGGACAACACGAATTTAGTGATAAGTTGACTGGCTCCAGATTGCAATAAACAGTTTAAAGATTTCTAAGTGTGCCCTGGAAGAGAATCTTCTCTCTGGCAGCCACAGATCTTGAGTTGCAGAAAATCAAACTGAAGCCCTCATTATAGGGTTGGCTGAGAAATTCAAGTCTCAGCCTCAGATGGTGTCAGAGGTCAAAGTGAGGGCATTAGTTGGTAAAGGATGGGATCCTACAACTTGGGATGGGGATGTGGGAGAACTGAAGCTGAGAACGTTGAGCCCTCAGATGCTCAAGGGTTTATCTCACCTGAGGAGACACTGGAACATTGCCCTTTTCACCTTTCACTGAGGAAATTAATCCTCCAGTGTCTGCTTTTTCTGAAAGAAATGCCATATAATGTAATACCAAGGCCCACCAATAGTTGCCTCTGGACCTATAAGCGGGCTCCTAGAGATGAGGTAGAAAGTGTAGTCCATGAGGCAGTGTGATACACTACTAAGGAGCTTAATGACTTTGCTAATTCATTCAAGCAAAGGTCTGGGGAATATGTGTGGGAATGGATTTTAAGGGTGTGGGATAATGGTGGAAGGCACATAAAACTGGATCAGGCTGAGTTTATTAATATGGGCCCATTGAATGGAGATTCAAGGTTTAACATGGAAGCTCACACTGTTTAAAAAAAAAGGTGTGAGCCGGGTGTTGGTGGCGCACGCCTTTAATCCCAGCACTCTGTGAGTTCGAGACCAGCCTGGACTACCAAGCGAGTTCCAGGACAGCCTCCAAAGCCACAGAGAAACCCTGTCTCGAAAAACCAAAAAAAAAAAAAAAAAGGTGTGAAACCTTGTTTGAATGGTTGGCTGAAGCGTTTATCCAAAGACAGCCTACTGAAAAGAAGCTGGAGATGCCTGATGCCCCTCGGTTTAGGGCTGGTGAAGGGATTTTCAGTCTCAGGGAAACTGCAATGCTTGAGTGGGAATGCCGAGGAAATCCTAACCCTCCGCAGTGGGAAGGCCCAGAAGACATGCTTTATCCTGTAAGACCCAAAATGATGAGGGGCATTTGAAAAGTTTTGTTGTCAGCCTTTTCCTTGTGCCAGACCTCAGGGTTGGAGATGCTGCTGCTCAATTGGGTGAGTTAAATGCAGTGGGTTTTAATCGGACCCTGAGGCAGCAGGGGCCAGGTGATTCTAGTTACATTAATGGGCAAGAACAAGCCTTCTGATTTCTGTTTGATCTGTATAAGCAGAAAACTTCTCAAACAAATGAAAGAAAGGCTGCATTGGATCGTGACAAAAGACAGTTTCGGCCAGTGAATCAGTTTCCAGACTTGAGCCAGTTTGCAGACCCAGACCTCTTGAATGAAGGGGTGGCTCCGTTCCTCTGAGGAAGGACCCTGATAGGAGCAATAGTGCTCTTACCCCCTGAGCCATCGCTCCAGCCCCTTGACTCACTATTTTCTTTGGCAGAGGCAACTCTAAAGGCTTCCATTAGCCTTTCCAACCCTAATATTCCTCGCTTCACAGGTCAGGGAACCAATGTGTCCCAGCAGAGATGTCTATCCAGCCCTTAGCCTTGAATTTTATTTTATTTTGGTTTTTCAAGACAGGATTTCTCTGTGTAGCTTTGGAACCTGTCCTGGAAACTTGCTCTGCAGACCAGGCTGGCCTAGAACTCACAGAGATCTGCTTGCCTGTGCCTCCCGAGTGCTGGGTCACAAAGAAAGGTGTGCTCCACCACCGCCCGGCTTTGAATTTCCTGTTCTTTTACTTCTACCTCTCAAGTTCTGGGACTGCAAATGTGCACCACCATGCTCTGCTTCCAATTAACTCTCTACATTTAAATTTTATGTGAGTGGGTGTTTTACCTGAATGTATGTCTGTACATCACATTTGTGCCTGATGTCCTCAGAGGCCAGAAGAGTATATCAGATTTCCCTGCGGGTACTCGGAATTAAACCTCTGGAAGAGCAGCAAGTACTCTTAGCCACTGAGCCGTCCCTCCTCAGAATATTTTAATTTGCATTTTCCTGATGGTTAAAGATATTGAACACTTTTTGAAATATTGGCCATTTGTGTTATAATTTAGGAAAACTGGACTCTATACTTATTAAACCTTAGGTTGACTTCTGTGCATCATTTTGTTTGTTCTGGTTTGCCTGCATGACCATCATAGCTGAGGGAAACCAAACTTAAACTGAACCTGGTCTATCTCTGTCTCCCTCCCTCCCCCCTTACCTTCTTCTCTTTCTCTTACGTAGATTCTCACCATGTAGGCTATATTGGACATAGAGTTGGTGCTGACAGCCTTTTGAATGCTGGGGTCTCAGGCATGCATCACCAACCTGACACTCAAGCTAATTTTTATTTTTGAGAAAGGTTCTCATGTAGCTCATGCTGGCCTCAGATTCACTGTGTAGTCAATGCAGAACTTTGACCTGCCTGTCTTCATCTCCCAAGTGCTGAGATCACAGGCATGTGCTAGCGTACCCAGATTACTCAGTCCTGGGACTCAAACCCAAGGCTAGGCAAGCAGTCCACCAACTGAGCTAATGTTGTGGAATACTGGTACAGTGCGTGAAAATGTATTGCTGTGATCGGGGTAATAAGATGAATGACCAATAACTAGGCAGGAGGCATAGGTGGGGCTTCCAGGCAAAGAAAAATCTGAGAAGAGCCAGGCATTGGTGGCGCACGCCTTTAATCCCAGCTCCTGGGAGGCAGAGGCAGGCGGATCTCTGCAAGTTCCAGGCCAGCCTGGTCTCCATAGTGAGTTCCAGGACAGCCTCCAAAGCCACGGGGAAACCCTGTCTTGTAAAACTAAAAAAGAAAAAAAAAGTAAAAAATCTGAGAAGAAAGTGGAATCACCAGCAAGACTCCAGGAAGCAGTATGAATAATGTGGAGAGATGAAGTAACAAGCCACCCACAGAATGTAGATCAAAATAAACGGGTTAATTTAAGTTACAAGAGCTAGTGGGACAAGCCTGAGCTAAGGCCAAGCTTTCATAATTATGTCTCCATGGCCATTTGTGAGCTGGCAGCCCAAAGGAAAATTTGACTATAGAGCTACTTTCCTAATCCTCAAAAAATTATATATATATATATATATATATATATATATATATGGGAAGTCCTGTGTATATGTCAATAAAGCACTGTTAGCCAAAAGGGAAGCAAGATAGGTGGGACTAGGAGTCGAGGAGGACTCTGGGAAGGAGAAACACAGGAGTCGAGATGTAACCGCCATAGGGTAGGAAGCCAGGAAACTTCTCCGGTAAGAGAAATCCTTAGATTAACAATTATGGGATAAATACTTAAATCAGAGCTAGCCAGTAAGAAACAAGCAAGGCCAACAGCTTCATAATTAATATAGCCTCCTGTGTGTTTATTTGGGACTGATACGGCTCTGGAACCAGGCCGACAGGAAGGGTTATCTTTACATATATACATACACACACACACACATAGAGAGAGTGTTGCGTTTATATGGTGTTTGTGTATGCTATATGTCTGTGTATGCAGGTACTGAAGTGTGTGCACCTACCATCCGTGTGGAGGTCACAGGACAACTTTGGGTGTTAGTCTCCTCCTTCCATCTCAGGGCAGAAACACTGGAATCGCAGCCTTGTAGCATGCTCAACTCTATTTGGCTTCTGGGGATTCAAACTCAGTTCTTCACATTTGCAAGGCAGGTGCTTTACCCACTAAGTTGGTGGTTCTCAACCTTCTTAATGCTCCCCAACCATAAAATTATTTTGTTGCAGCTTCATAACTAATTTTGCTACAGTTATGAATCATAAATATCTGATGTGCAGGATCTCTGATATGTGGCCCTCAAAGGGGTCATGACCCATGGGTTGAGAACCGCTGCACTAAGCCATCTCTCTCTCCAGCCCCTTCAAGACACACATGTGTTGTCTTCTAATTGTATGTGTGTGGCATGTATGTGTATAGTGAGTGTGTGGTGTGGTATATGTGTGTATAGTATACACTTGCATGTGTGTGGAGGCCCAAGGATGCCAAGTGTCTTCCTAACTGATCTCTATGTAAAAAATATTTTTAAATTTACACTTACTGGTTTGTACATGGATACACGTGCTGCAGTGCACATGCGAAGCTAAGAGGACTTTCAGGAGTCTGTTCTCTCTGCACCATGTAGGTTCGGAGTATGGAACTAAAGTCCTCAGGCTTGGCAACAAGGGCCTTTACTGGATGAGCCCACTTGCCAGCCCCTCCACCTTTATTTTTTGAGAGTTCCTTTTCTCTCTGTGTGTTTCCATTTATTTGGACTGGTTTATTTATTCTGAGACAGGGTCTCTCTGTGTAGTCCTGAGACTCAATACGTAGTCCGGACTGGTCTCTGGACTCATAGAGCTCCTTCTGCCTCTGCTTCCTAAGTGCTAAGATCAGAGGCATTTACCACCACCTCCAGCTTCAAAAATACAACCAAACAACAAGAAAAACAACTGCCTCTGCTTCCTGAGTGCTGAGGCTGAAGAGATTTGTCACCATACCCAGTCCAAAGTGTACTTTATAGTACATCTTTATTGCATTGTTTATGTGTGAGCAAGAGCACACATGGAGGTGTGTGGAGTCAGTGCTCTCCGTGCACCATGTGGCTTCTGGGGATCGAACTCAGGTTGGTAGCCTTGGTGGCAAGCACCTGGACCCCAAATAGCAGGTAGTATGTGACCTTGGTAAAATATTTAAAAAACACAGACATTGTTAATAATTCCATCATCTGCAAATGAGGGTGTTTTTTTTTAAAGATTTATTTATTACATATATAGTGTTCTGCTTATATGCCAGAAGAGGACACAGGATTGAATTGTAGTTGGTTGTGAGCCACCATGTGGTTGCTGGGAACTGAACTCAGGACCCCTGGAAGGACAGTCAGTGCTCTTAACCTCTGAGCCATCCCTCCAGCCCGAGGGTGTTTTTTACTAAGTTAAAAATATAGCTTGGCAGCCGGGCGTTGGTGGCGCACGCCTTTAATCCCAGCACTCGGGAGGCAGAGGCAGGCGGATCTCTGTGAGTTCGAGGCCAGCCTGGTCTACAGAGCGAGTTCCAGGACAACCTCCAAAGCCACAGAGAAACCCTGTCTCAAAACAAAAAAAAAAAAAATAGCTTGGCATAGTGGTGCAGGCCTTTAGTCCCAGCGCTCAGGAGGCAGAGGCAGAAAGATCTCTGAGTTCAAGGTCAGCCTGGTCTACAGAGTGAGCTCCAGAAAGCCAGGGATACATGGAGAAACCTTGTCTCAAAAAAACCCAATGAGTAATAAAATAAACAAAATAACAATGGTGATGATGATGATAAGTTCTAAGCTGTGTGGTGGTGGTACAGTTTTTTTGTTTTGTATTTTTTTGAAACCCTGTCTCCTAAACAACAACAACAATGAAACACCTGGAAATGGGCTGCTGTCTGCATTTATGTATTTTTCATTTCTGATTGTTTCAGGTAGCCTTCATGGCTGTACCACATGATGCACAGGAAACTTCCTATCTGCTCCCTCCAGACCCTGAGGACTGGGAGGAACAAGGCATCCCGGACTTTGTCTATGGACAGAAGGACCTCATCGGGAAGGGAATTCAGTGGCCGAGGAATGCAGGCAGCACCCCAGACACACTGCCACGGTCCCGCTTCGATTCTGCCCTCTGCTCTGCGTGGAGGCAGCGAGTGGAACTGGACCTGTTTCGATATCGCCTAGAAGATCTGCAGACCCAAATCCTCCCTGGCTCCGTGGGGTTTGTAGCTCAGCTGAATATAGAGCGAGGAGTACAAAGGAGGCCCCCCCAGAATATCAAAAGTGTGAGGCAGGAGTTTGACCCAGAACAGTTTAACTTCACAAAAATCCGACCAGGAGAAGTCCTTTTCCGTTTGCAACGGGAGCCCAATGGCCCAGCTGCCTCAAAGCAAGAGGACGTCCTTGTGGTGATCAATGTCAGCCCTCTGGAATGGGGCCATGTGCTGCTGGTGCCAGAGCCTGCTCGTGGGCTCCCGCAACGTCTGCTGCCTGGGGTGCTGCGGGCTGGGCTTGAAGCTGTACTTCTGAGCTTACACCCAGGCTTCCGGGTAGGCTTCAACAGCCTGGGAGGTTTGGCCTCTGTGAACCATCTCCATCTGCATGGCTACTACTTGGCCCACCCACTCCCTGTGGAGGTCGCCCCAAGCACACCTCTAGACCCCAAAGGCTGTATGCATCTGCTGCAGGCCCTTCCAGCTCCTGGTTTCCTCTTTTACACGAGTGGGCCAGGGCCTGACCTGGAAGCCTTGATTAGCAGGGTATGCCGGGCCACTGACTATCTGAGTGACCATGAGATTGCACATAACTTATTTGTGACCCGGGGAGCTCCACCCGGGCAGGCATCATCTTCCTCGGGCCTCACTGGGATCCGAGTCATTTTGTGGGCCAGGAAGTCCAGCTTTGGAGTAAAGGAAAGTGGGGCTTTCAATGTTGCGCTCTGTGAGCTGGCTGGCCACCTACCCGTTAAAACATCCCAGGACTTCGGCAGCTTGACAGAGGCAGCTGCGGTGGCCCTCATTCAGGACTGTCTGCTGCCCCAAACTCAGGCAGATGAGGTGCAGGCAGCACTGGTGGCTCTGATGGCCCAGGAAGGGCTATGATTCTTCAGGTTTTACTGATTCAAGGCCCTTTCCAAAAGCTGTTAATCACTGGCAATTCTTTTCATGACTGCCTCCTACCACTCAGATTAAGGAGTATAAAGAAGGCACTGAATGAATGTATTCTTGTGAACGTTTCAACTGCTTCTCACCTTTTTTCTTAGACAAGCTGGGATTAAAGGTGCTTGCCACCACCACCTGGCTAGAATAGTGTGTGTGTGTGTGTGTGTGTGTGTGTGTGTGTGTGTGTGTGTGTATTTTTTTGGTTTTTCAAGACAGAGCCTCCTGAGTGCTGGGATTAAAGATGTGAGCCACCAATGCCCGGCAAAAGAATATATTTTTTTTGGTTTGGAGTACATTTCTTAATCATATAGAAAACTGATTTTAAGAACAGAAGAATGAGCCGGGTGTTGGTGGCGCACGCCTTTAATCCCAGCACTCGGGAGGCAGAGGCAGGCGGATCTCTGTGAGTTCGAGACCAGCCTGGACTACCAAGCAAGTTCCAGGACAGCCTCCAAAGCCACAGAGAAACCCTGTCTCGAAAAACCAAAAAAAAAAAAAAAAAAAAAAAAAAAAAGAATAAAAGGGGGGCTGGAGCTGGAGAAGTGGCTCAGAGGTAAGAGCACTGACTGCTCATCCAGAGGTCCTGAGTTCAATTCCCAGCAACCACATGGTGGCTCACAACCATCTACAAGTCAATCTGGTGCCCTCTTCTGGCAGAACACTATATGTAATAAATAAACAAATCTTTAAAAAAAAAATAAAAGGGGGGGCTGGAGAAATTGCTCAGTGGTTAAAGCACTTGCTGCACTTCAGAGGACCAGGTTCAGCTCCCAGCACCCACATGGTGACTCACAGACATGTGTAACTACAGTTCCAGGGGATCTGATGCCCTCTCCTGACTTGCACGGGCACCAGGCAAGAATGTGGTCCACATACATGCAGGTAAAAACTCGTACACATAAAATAATATTTTTAAAGATTTATTTATTTATCTTATTTATATGAGTGCTCTATCTGCATGCACACCAGAAGAGGGCACCAGATCTCACTACAGATGGTTGTGAGCCGCCATGTGATTGCTGGGAATTTAACTCAGGACTTGTGGAAGAACAGTCAGTGCTCTTAACCTCTGACTGCTTAATCTCTCCAACTCCACATAAAACATTTTTAAAAATTAAAAGAATGACAAAAGCTCACCAATCACTTGGGAAATTTTCAGTACTACAGAGTAAGCAAAAAATTACTCGTGTTCATGTACCTTCTGCAGTGTTTTTTTTTTTTTTCTTTGATTTTTCAAGACAGATTTGTCTGTGTGACTTTGGCTGTCCTGGAGCTCGCTCTGTAGATCAGGCTGGAATCCATCTGCCTCTGCCTTTTGAGTGCTGAGATAAAAGTAGTCACTACCACCCAACTCAGTGTTTATCTTTTTATGAACAAAAAAATGTTTGATTCTTTGGATTTTCACATAATCTGAATGACGGGTTGGGTTGGGTTTGGTGGAGGAAGCTAGTGGAATTCAAAGTGGGGGAGTGCCAGGTATAGGAAAGGGACAATGACAGCAATTGGATGAGATGGCTGTTATTTTCTTTTCTTCCAGTTAAAAAATTATTTATGGTGGTGAGCACCATGTCAAAGCGTGGGTGTAGCGGTCAAAGGACAACTTACTGTTGTCCGGGTTCTCTTTTTGCACCGTGTGGGTTCCGGGGGTCGGACTCAAGTTCTTTGGCTTATCAGCCAGCACTTTTACCTGCTGAGCCAGCCCCTTTCAGTAATTCGTTAATGCAACTGTTTCAGCTTATCAGGGTGAAAAAACATGGAAGGCATGTGTCCTAATCGCTGCTTTCCTTATCAAGGGCGGGGACTTTTCTCATAGCACCATTTCTAAAATGCAGAAGAAATACAAGCAGTTATTTGTCACAGACTTGTTTGCCCATAGCCACCAGATTCCAGGAAAGGTATGGTGGGAAAGATGCGAACCCGCGCCAACGCGGAAGGACTATAAGTCCCATAATGCCTTGGAAGAATCCCTCTAGACTGATCATGGGCTCCGGTACACTGACCTCCAGCAGCACCCGGCAAAAGCAGACAGCTCGATGCCGTGTTGGCTTCCGCTGGCGCCAAAGTGGGTGTGGTTTCCAAGAAGGCCACGCCCCCAGAACGCTACTCCAATAGGGGCCGCCTTCGTGTCCATAGCGACGGCGGCGGCGGCGGCCGTCGGCTTGCTTAAGAAGGCGCCGCCGCCGCCAGGATCTCGGAGCTTGGAGTTAACCCCGAGGGGGAGCGGGCTCCCCCTCGCGACGGCGAGGATAGACAGTCCTGTGGAACGAAGACACGGTCCCCGACGTCCAGCAACGCCCAGGAAGAGCCGCAGCGGGCGAGGGGCGGCCATGAGCGACCAGCTGAGTCCAGCCCCGGGCTGCTAGGGGCAGCTCCAGCAGCCCCTGAGCTCTCCTCGAAACCTCGGGTGGGCAGTGTCTGCCGTGCGTTTCCTTTCCTCTATCAGCCATCAGATGCCCGACCCCGACGTGTTCACATAGAGAAACTGAATCCTGGCTCAGGGAAAGGGCTGGCCCGAGAACCCTTGATCATCAGCTGTATTTTAAAGCAGAGTCCTCCAGTTCTGCCAGCCACCTCTCTTTCCATTCAGAAAGCTAAACAGCCGTGGCCGTGGCTTCTACCAGCTCTGTTCTGCATGCACTACAGTGTGTTGTATGAACCAGGGTAATCCTGGATGATGGGTCTTTTAGATAAGGACTTTACATCCTCCCAACATCCCATGCTCCCCCAGCCCTCTACTTGGAAACAACCTAGTCTACAGCAGGATTGGTCTGAAAAGGGCAATATTTCCTTATAGCACCATAAAGGGTCTCTGGGTGAATTCTTGAAGGACTTCCTGGGCCTGGAAGGAGGTCTGATAAATATTTCATCCCATCTCTTTCCCCTTAGAATCTAAGAGGATGGAGCCCAGTACCTGTAAGACCAGTGACTCTGAGGAAGACTATGTTGAGGAAGAAGAATCTGAGGAAGAGTGTGTTAGAGAGGAAGCTACCACCCCTCACTCTTCCCAGCAGGCACTTGCAAAGGCTGACTATAAAGAGTTTGAGAATGGGGTTGACTTATCTGTTATAGCCAAGAAAATTCCAAAGAAAATCCTAAGTGCAGCAGAAACAGATGATTTGGAAGTTGGGAGGAGAAAGAGAAAGCGGAAACGAAGGTAACTTTTCCCTAGATCCCTCACAGGTCTGGCTCCAGAGAGTCACCCCTTGGCCTCAGACCACCATTTGGTAGGGGACGATGGGATCTAAGCTTTTCACTTTAGCCCAGGAGAGCCAGGTTGTGGTGCACATCAATAACCCCGGCACTAGGAAGGCTGAGAGAGAGAGAGAGGAAAGAATTACATGTGTTCCAGGCCAGTTTGGGACCCTGATTCAAAAGCCATAGAACAATGGTCTGATGATGGCTCAGCTGGGGAAGAGAGCTTGGTGCACAGCATAAAGGCCTGAGTCTGGATGCCCAATGCTCACAAAAAATAAAAAATAAACAGTCATGGTGGCACACGCCTTTGATCCCAGCACTCAAGAAGCAGAGGCAGGATGATCTCTGAGTTCCAGGTCAGCCTGGACTGCAGAGCAAATGCCAGGACAGCCAGGGCTACACAGAGAAACCCTCTCTCGAAAATCTAAAGAGAAAGGAAAAGGCCAGAGCAGTATTAATCTTTGCTGCAACAGAAAAAATATTCAGAGCCATTTGGGTCTGCCCATCTTGGAATTTTATCATGTTTGGTTTGTTATTTACAGTGCTTCTAGAAAAAATGAATTTGAGTTATAAATTGGTTAGCTACTTCCTCACCTGGGCTCCTGGCAGCCTGGAGCCTGTTCTTCCCCCCTACTCTGCCTGATTTCTGTTCTTTTTTTCATTTCAGACCCCTGGCCATCAATCTGACCAACTGCAAGTATGAGAGTGGTAAGCACTGGGCTCATCACTGACAGCCATGTATCCAAGAGGGACCGTTGTTCTTATTCCTGGGACAGAGTCACAGCCATTCTCCCAGCCCCTGGCTCCTGCCCAGGTTACCCACTACCTACACTGAGGTTCCTGGATATCCCCAGACTTAGCTCCCAGTAGCTGAGATGTCGCTATTGCTCTTAATCTCACTGGTAAGGAAGGTATCTCCACAGTTAGCTGGCAAAAACAAACAAACAAACAAAACAAAACAAAAAACACAAGCCAAGGCACTTGGGAGGCAGAGGCAGAAGCAGGCAGATCTCTTGAGTTCCAGGCTAGCCTGGTCTACATAGTGAGACCCTGGATATATATAATTTTTGAAAGGTGGCTGGGATGTAGCTCATTGGTAGAATGCTTGCCTAGCATGAAGCCTTGGATTTGATCCTCAGCACCCATTAAACTGGTCCTGGTGGCTTATACCAGTAATCCTAGCATTTGGAAGATGGACTCAAAGGGATCAGAAGTTAAAGGTTATTCTTGGTTATATAGCCAGCAAAACAAAAAACAAACAACCCCCCCAAAAAACAAAAAATCCAATGAAATCTCACCAATGCCCTACCCTTTAAATAAAGAATGTAAGGAAAAGAACAAGGAAAAAACTGCGTTGGGAACTGGAGAAATAGGTCATTATATAAATACACTTGTCAGCAAGACTGACAACCCAAGTTCAATCCTGAAGATCCACATGGTAGCAGGAGACTCCTGCAAATTATCTTCTGACCTCGACATGCATGATCTAGCACATATATGCCCACTTACATACACATGATTAAAAATAATGAGAACCTTTTTTGTTGTTGTTATTTTTGTTTTTGGAGACAGGATTTCTCTAATAGCTCTGGCTGCCCTGGAACTCACTCTGTAGACCAGGCTGGCCTCGAGCTCCCAGAGATTCACCTGCCTCTGCCTATAAAGTGCTGAGATTAAAGGTGTGCATCACCACTGCCCAGCAAAATAATGAATATCTTAAACAAAACAACAAAAACAGCTGCTTCTAAAGGTTAAGGACATAGCTCGATGCAAAAGACTTGCCTACCAGACAAAAGGCCCTCGGTTTAATCTGCAACACAAGAACCAAAACTGAGTTTCTCCCCTAAGAGGCTCTCAGAGGGCTTAACAATCAAAAGTA